CAGTGGCCGGGCCTCCTGAGCAGCTGCCTGTCTTTGCCGCAGGTTCCACGCCTTTCCCCTACAACCCCCTGTTCGTGCGGCTGCAGGCGGGTGCCATGGCTTCCCCGCCTCCGCCCGGCTTCCCTGCGGGCAGTGGGCCCCTCGCCGGCCCCCACCACGCCTGGGAGGAGGAGCCCAAGCCGCTCCTGTGCTCGCAGTACGAGACGCTCTCCGACAGCGAGTGAGCCGGTGGGCACGGTGCAGGTCCCCGCCCGTAGCAGGACGGCCCAGGAGGCAGACAGGTGGCTGCAACGCACCCCACCAAGGAAGGAGCCCCGAGTCTGCCCACGCGTCCGTCTGTCCGTCCGTCTGTCCACCCGGAGCTGGCATCCTGCCTGTCTAAAGCCTTAACTAAGACCCCCCACCCCGGCTGGCCCTGCACAGTGACCGTACTCAGGGCACGTTCACCTGGTGCTCGGGAGGGGAGGGGAGGGCAGCAGGCCGGGGAGGGGACACAGTGAGCGCATGGTGACCACAAGCACGCAGCCGGGGTGACCAGGGACCCGAAAGAGGATGACCAGGCGCCTCCATGCCACTGCCTCCCCTTTCTCCATTTGGAACCAAAGTCTAAACTGAGCTAGCCCCCGCCCCCATCCTGCTTAGCGCTCGGGACAGACGGACGGGCACTGTCCAACCTGCAGCGCTCTGTCAGTCCCCATAGGCTGCCCCACAAGACTGCTGGGAACCACGTTAGACCAGGCGGAGGACGAGAGGGCTGGGCGCAGCCTGGGGCAGCAGAACCACAGGACCTGGATGTGGCCCTCTCGCCCGCGGGGGGGGGCGGGGCGACGTGTTGGTTTACAGGGTATATTTTTGATACCTTCGATGAATTAATTCAGATGTTTTATGCGAGGAAGGACTCACCCAGTATTATGCTGCTGTGCTTTCGATCTCCGCTTACATTGGGGAGCGTGCAGGCCGACCACCGGTGACCCCTCGTCCATGGGACCCGGGGCGGCCGCCGGCTCACAGCCGCCACGCCCTCCATCCCTCCCTTCCTTGGGCAGAACGAGTTTGATGCGTGTTCTGTGGCCACCATCTGCGCATGGTGGTGGCCTTATGTCATTTACACACGTTGTTCTAATTAAAAAGCGAATCATACTCGATACAGAAGTGTCTTCTCTGCTTTGGACGGGGCAGCCAGGAGGGCGTGCAACTGGGGGCCAAGGGACACTAGGAGTATCCCCTTTGACTCAACCTTTGCCACGAGAAAGGCAAGGGAAGGGTGTCATCCTCGGGGCATTGAAAAGTCACATCAGGTGCAGTCACGTGGTGAAGGCGCATGGCACTTGCCCACGGCAGAGGTGTCAAGTGTTTGCACCGGGGTGACCCCTGGAGGAGGTGCCCAGCATCCACACCTTGGTCAGCTGTGGTGACAGGTCCCCTATGGCTGTTGGTCCTTAGGTCTTCTTGTCACGCCTGCCCGCTGCATTGGTGCTAAGGAGTGGGCAGCCTTCCCCACACTCACTTCCAACCCCGGGCGGAGGGGGGCAGCCGCCAGCTCCTGGTCCACAGCTGCCCACCTTTGCAGATTCAGCCTGAACCAGCCCCAGCGCCGATCTTCCTCGGCCTAGCCTGGCTTCTGCCCACCTCTTGCTCTTTCCTTTGGCCTCCGTGGAGCCCTGCCCAGCCACCCTGCCCTGGGACTGACCAGGCACGTGGGCAGAGGACAGCCAGGGAAGCCCAGGGCGGGCTGAGAGGATGAGCACCCTGGCAGTGTCCGCCAAGGGGTGGCTCTGCTCCTCCTGCCCAGCACGGGAGTCCCAGGTCATGGCACCCAGCCAGCCATCGCCCTCAGCCTCCGAGGCCCAAGCACCCCAGGATGTTAGCCTCAGCCCACTTGGGGACAGATGGCCCCCTGTCCCCAGAAGGAGGCCCACCTGGCCCGGTGGCTGGTTAGCAGGGCCACCATGTCTGGCCTGGGTCAGGGGTCATGCAGCTGGAGAGCCGCTTCCGAGGCTCCCCGGGGAGGACGGCCGTGCCTGTGCCAGTTCCTGACTCCAGCCTCCCATTTGGCCCCACAGAGACCAACCCTCGCAGGGCCTTGGGGGACCACAGAGGAGAGCCTAGGTCCCCTGAAGAGAGAAATCGTCACCCCTGCCCAGCCTCTGTTGTCAACCCCAGCCTTCAATGCCGGGCCCAGGTTCGGCCACCGCTGTGGTGGGGACCTGAGGGCCTCAGACCCATGCAGGCCTGGCCTCCAGGTGTGGCGTCCACCTCAAGGGCTTTATTTCTCTTTTGCAGAGAGAGGATCCCAACGCCTCCTGACGGGGATCAGCCTGCTCCCCAGCTATAGTACCAAGGTGGCAGGCAGGTGGCAGTGTGGGCTCCCTGTCCCTCTTCCTCCGCACACACCAGCCCCCTGCAGGGGTCCAGATGGGTCAGGCCCAGCTGGCCACACCAGCTGCCAGGGGTTGGCCCCTCCCTCATTGTGGTGCCTCCGGGACCCCATGGCACCTCCCTCGGCTGCAGTCAGAGCTGTGTGGGGAGAGACCAGAGGCCAGCCACAGGGCATCTCCATCTGCCTTCTCTGAAGGACGGTGGCCCAACCCACCACAGGGTGTATGGGCAGGATGAGGAGTGATCTGGTGCCACCTGGTTGACGGCTATCTCCCAGCTGCATCCAGCGGGAGGCCATTCCACAACCCCTGTGGACTCTTCCTCCCTCCATCTTTAAAATGCAGACTTATGCAGTTCCCCTCACCTTCGTCTCCCAGGAAAACTCCTAGGCACACTTCAAAACCCAATAGGGCATTATGTCCTTGAACTCACCGCCCCCCTCACGTCCTCTCAGCACAGGGCAGGCTGTGCCCATCACACCAGGCAGAACCCCCCGGGGGTGGAGTAGAGCTCATCTCTTCCCCTCCTGACCCTGTATTTTGCTCCAAACCTCTTGCAACCTCCAAACAACAGAAAATTAGTGCTTCATAGAGGACAGCTGTGGGCAAATGTCACCATATTCTAGGACATTGGGAAGTTGGCAGAAATGAGATTCCTGCCCCACATGGACGGTAGGGAACCCCAGGTCTGGAGCGGGGCTGGAGGGTTGTCTGGAGCCCCCTCTATGACGGTGGGTGTGGTGCCCAAGGTTGGAGCTAGACCCTCACCTGGGACCTGGCCTCTGCCTCCCCGTCTGAGCAGGTGACTACAGGAAAGGCACGGGGCTCTGCAGGAGAAGGCCTGGTGTGGGAGTGGACAGGCCTCCAGGCCCCAGGGCCTGCTGGGTGCAGTCAGGATGCCCTCCCGGGGGTGGCAGTCTTGGGGAGAGATGGGTTGAGACAAGGCAACCCTGTGTGGGATAGGCTCAGGTGAGGCTCAGGTGGGGACGGTTTGGAGACCAGGTGACCAGATACCGGCCAAGTTGGGGGACCCAGTTTCTAAGAAAGGGCCAGCTGTTGCTCAGAGAGGTCATTTTCTGGTTTTCCAAAAATGCCACCTGCATCTTATGCATTTAACCAACCCAGTGGGAGGGCTGGGGTGAAGCTCCCAGGAGCCGTGGACCTGGGACCCCTGGACATGGGACTCCTGGACGTGCAACGGAGGACAGCCTATCCCAGACACAGCACAGCTGTGTGCCAGAGCTCTTGCGACTCGGCCCAGGGGTCAGCTGCCAGCACTGCAAAAATAAAGGACTCCTAGGCTGCCCGCCCGGGAGGGACCTGGCCTCTGCGTCTGTTGGTCAGCCCTCTGGTGGGGGTGACACTGAGGCTGGCTGTCAGCAGGATAGGGGTGAACTTGCTTCCTGTCCCCCAGGAGTAGGGTCCCCGAGAAACTGGGTGGGGCCAGGGGAGATTTGACCCAGGGACACCTGGCTTCCCCTTCCCTACCCCAGCGGTGCCTGCCGGAGGGTCTCAGACACAGTAGAGGAAGCCCCTTGGGGTTTGCACGTTTTATTAATAATCAATTGACTTCTTAAGTTACCTGTCAATCAGGGAGGTACCTTGGGACTTGCTGTCTGCATAGATATATAAAAATACATCGGTTGCTTGGCTTCGCCTCTGGGTGCCCCTCCTGGCTCCTGGGGGGTGGGCTGCAGCCCCAGAGGCCCTTCCCCTCTGCTCCTGGGGTTTCCCAGGGGAGCAGCAGGCAGCCAGCCGCCCACCTACTGGGTGCCTTCAGATCTGGGGAGGAAGGTACAGGGGGACATCTCTGTGACCACAGCAGGGGCCTCTGGGGTGTGGGTTCAGTGGCCCAGGCGTGGCCCCATGCCACCTGAGGTGTCCCAGGGAGCGGGAGCAGAGCACGCATGGCTGGGCTCCTGGCTTTCAGAATCACGTGGTCAGCTGGAGCCTTGGCAGGAATGGACATGGCCCCGCGTTTCTCCTTAAGCAGACAGCAACGCTCAGAGCCTGGAGTCCAGACTGGCCTTGGGTAGGGCTCAGGACGTTCCCAGGAGCTTGAAGCCTCCCCCTGGCACCTGGCAGATGGCTTTGAGGTCCCAAAGTCCCAGCGCTGAGGGCGACGGTGGTGCGGCAGGTGCTGGCTGGGGCCTCCCTGCAGTGAGGCTCAGGGTATGGAGGCTAAAGGCCTCCTTGGCAGGCAGGGCCCTGGACTGTCCACACTGGCGGCCACAGGACCCTGGATGGCAGCGGCTCAAGGCACATTCCAGGACGCCCCGCCCCAGGGAACCAGCACCAGCCTGGGCCTTAGCGCTGGACTCTTCTATCTCCCGCTCAATGGCCTCCAGAGCTGGTGCTGGGCTGGTCTGGTCTCAGGGCCACTGGCCGCGTGGGCTGTACCACTGAGAGGCCCATGTTGGAAAGCGCCCTATCTAGGGGCGGGGCGGGCGTGGGTGGCACCGCTGTGCCCTCACACAGCCCCAGAGCGGCGTCTGCGCGGCCGGGGACACCTTTATGCCCCGCAAGGACAGCCAGGTGGCCCCTCCCTCCCTGGAGCGGCCGCCACGTGCTCCTGCTCGGCTGGCGGCCGGCGTCGCGGGCTGGGCGCGGGCTGCGGGCGGCCTAGGGCGCCGGCGGGGCGCAGAGCCGCAGCTGCACGCTGGCGGTGAAGGAGCGGCGCGCGCGGCCCAGGCTGCAACGCAGGGTGGTGCGGAAGGAGCTGCGCGCGCGCTTGGGGAAGATGATGGTGGTGCTGCGGAAGCGCAGGGCGCGCGGGCGCGGCTCCAGGGTCAGCTGGCTGCGGTAGCTGCGCCACGTGCAGTTGGGCGCCGCCACGATGGTCTCGCTGTAGGCCGTGACCGTGGGCACCGGCGCGTAGAACACTTTGTCGCGGAAGCGCCTCTCGGAGGAGAACTGGACCTCAGAGCTGCAGCTGGGGGCGGGAGGGAGGCGTGAGCCGGGAGGCGGCCCTGTGTCCCCCACCCAAGGACCCCTGGACCGGCGAGGCCGAGGTCAGGAGGAGGTCACAGGCAGGCCGAGGGGCTGCCCCAGGAGGGGACGACCCAACGCCTCACAGGAGCCTGCGTGGATCCTGGACTGGCATGAACCAGCGTGATTGGGGCTGAGGATAGAATTCGAGGACACTGGACTTACTGGTTTTGACAACAAAGCTGCTGTCATGGGGGAGTGTCCCTGAATAGGGTCACAGGGCAAGGTGGGACCTGCCCTCTCTCATGCCTCTGGAAGAAGGGAAGCAGGAAGACACCCAATCTGGGGCCTGCCAAAGATGTCCCAGAAGGTCCCCTGGGGCCCCCAGAGGAGTGACAGCCTCAGTGACTGACCCCCACCCCAGTTGCCCTTCTAGACGTCTTGGAATTGAGCCAGAAGCACAGGCTCCAGGAGGGGCCATGGGCAGGGGGCAGCACCCAGAGAGAGGGGCCCAGGTCCCTGCAAAACCCCAGGCTGGCCTGGACCCACCCCACCCCAGCCAGGGCCAGCACCCCTGCCCCACTGGGCTGTGACCCACTCACCAGATTTCATGCGTGGGCTCCGGGTCCACCTTGATGCTCTCCCCAAAGAACACCGGCAGCATCCGGGGCCTCATCTCGGGGGCCGGGGGGTTCTGCAGGGGGGCAGAGGGCTGCGGAAGGTTCATGGGCAAGGGCCCCACAGCCCTGTGGCTGGACCTCAGCTCCCTGCTGGGCACAGTCTGGCCACCCGACCCCTTCCAGCCCTGGCTTGGTCTGGAAGCTGCATTGTGGGCTCTGTTGAGAAGTCACCCCAGTGTCCCTCTGCCCCAGCACACCCACCTGGACCCACCCTTCAGCCTGCACCCCATTCCTGGACATCTCAGGAAAGGGGACACAGTAATGTTCCCACTGCCACCCAGGCCCCAGCAAGCCCCAGTACCAGGCTCAGAGGCCTGCAGGACGGGAACAACTCTTGGGCGCCCTGTGGGTGACACCCTATGAGGACCGAGAACAGTGTTCCTCAGAGACCAAGTGTCCCTGGTACCACCTGAGGCTGCAGCAGGCTCCAGAGGGGTAGGGACCCCACTGAATAGGTGTCTGGGCTTCATCTGCCGGGGAAGACACAGGGGAGCCCCCAGCACTGAGACAGGCACAGGAGACCAGTGGGAAGTCTTGGGCAGTGACTCTCTGGTTTTGCCTACCCAGCATCCACCTCTCCCAGAAAGAGCCTGTGTCTTCTCCAGGACCAGGTTAGCTTTAGCCATGGCCTGTGGCCCACGTGTGACCAATGAGAGGGCTACCCAGGTTTTCTGCCAGAGAAGACCCCAAGTGACGAAGCAGACAGAGGGTGAATGACCAACTTGCCCCCATCAGAGAATGAAGCAACACCACACGGGCAGTGTCCAGCACAGGGGTGAAGACAAGACACCATCCCTGCATGAAGAGGGGACACCAGGCCATGGGCACCCTGTTCCTCCAGGCTTCTGCCTTCCTGACTGGTGTCCACCCCAGGGCTGTAGAGGCCGACGGGTCACCACAGCTCCCGTAAGTCAGGGCCAAGCCACGGCTATAAGGTGGGAGCCATACCCTCCCCGCTGCGGGGCATGGCACAAACACCAGGTGCTCGCTGGGTACCTGCTGCGTGCTGGGGCCTGTGTGGTGGCCAAAAGAACAGCACCTCCCAGGGCTGTCCTCCTGCAAGAGGGAGTGGCCCCATGTGGCCCCAGGAGAGGGGCAGGGGCCAGGCTGGCGTGGGGCGAGAACGGGGTTCAGAGGCGTTGGAGGTGCAGGCGGAGCCGCGGCTCCCTGGGCCTCGCTGCAGATTCCCCCACAGACGGTCACACCATGGTCAGCCGCGACTGGCCGTTCCCAAGCCTCTGGTGCCTCTGGTGCGGCTGCAGCAGGCTGGGTGAGGACAGCCACCTCCCGCCGGCCAGGTCTCCCCCACCCGCTGCCAGGCCGGCAGACAAGGCTCGATTCACAGGCTGGGCCCGGGGCCGAGCTCTGGGCGCCACCTTCCAAGGGGCCCCGCTGGAAAAACATCTGGGACCTGCCCACACCGGAGGCCGCCATCAAGATACGAGAAGCCTGTGAAAATCGGGCGCAGGCTGGAGGCCCGGCTGGCCAGACGGCTCCCGAAGTCCTCGCTCAGGACTCCAGGGACCGTCCCCAAGAGGAGAAGGACAGACACGAGGCCTCGGGGGAGTTTGCGCTGAGTGGCCCATCAGCTGGGCCCCTGGACCCACCCGGCCAGTGGGCAGAGTGGACCAGGAAGGCACGCCGAGGCCCCAGCAGGACAGCCAGCCACCCTGGAACGGGACACCCCTCGGGGATGGTCACGGTCCCTTGGAGCACGGAGTTGGGCCCACACAGGGTGGGGACGCACCCGCGGGCTGCCTGCTGGGCCCTGCTCCCTGGCTGCGGCACCAAAGCTCCTGGACAGGCCCAGCCCAGCCCCTGCCCAGGCGCCTGTCCCCAGCCAGGTTATTCTGTCCTGAAGAGAATCTGCTGAGCTCCTTGGCTGTCACCCACCGAGTGGGGCTTGGTCATTCATGACGGGAGGCAGTGCCATCGTGAGGACCCACGGGGGGCTGTGCGAGAGGCATGGGGCCCAGACTGGCCAGCTCCCTCGTGGGTCTGCGTCCCAGGGCAACACCGGGTGCAGGGACATGGAGGAACAAATGGCCGGCAGCCAGATGCTGGCCCCTCTCCCCTCCCCCAGTGCCACCTTCCTGCCTCCACCCCCACTGTCCCCTGAAGGGACCCCTGCAGCTGGCTCAGACCCTGGTCTCAGCTGCCTGCTCCAGGTTGGGCCAGCCAGGCCTGCCCTCCCCCTGGGCACCAGGAGAGTGTGGGGCCCCAGGGAGGTCAGAAAGGGAGCGGGCCCCAGGGACACGGCTGAGGGCCAGTGCCCTGGCCTGGTGACTTAGGTGCCCTCCCACAGCCCAGGACAAGAGCGCAGATGGCTAGGAGTCCAAGCACACACAGGGCTGTGGAGGTTCAGCCTGGCCGCTGGGCCCAGGCCACGGGCCACAGCCAGCAGGGGACATAACCAGGCCACAAAATGACAGCCCTGCCCCGCCAGAGGTCCTGGCCTCACCCAAGCCACATGCAGCCTCGGCAAGGGCTCGAGTGGCCTTGCTCAGGCAGCATGGCTTCGTGGCTACAGGGATCAACTGTGACATGCTTGGCATGTGTGGAAGGTATTTCTTTTGGGGGGTGGGGTAACCCCTGAGCCGCATGGCCCAGCCCTATTTCTTGAATTTTATTTAGAGACAGGGTCTCACTGAGTTGCTTAGAGCCTCACCTTGGCTGAGGCTGGCTTTGAATTCACGATCCTCCTGCCTCAGCCTCCCGAGCCACTGGGATGACAGGCGTGTGCCCGGCTACAGAAGGTATTTTGGGACCGAGGGCTCATGTGCAGAGCTATAGTTGGCCTTGACCTGTCCCCACAAGGAAAAGGAAGCAAGGGAGGGCTACTGAAGCACCACAAGTCCCTGTCCCCCCTTTGTAGGGCTTTGGCTGTGGACAGATCCTGGGCCTGGGGTCGGGTCTTCTCCTCTCCCTCCCATGGCACCTCGGGCAGCCACTGGGGGCCGTGAGGAGTCCAGGAGGCCCAGAGGACCATGCTGCACCCGGAGAGCCTCGAGGCCTCAGGGGATATGGAGCTCAAGTCCCCAGGCTCTGACACCAGGAAGGAGACAGCACACAAGCCCTGGGCCTGGAGGAGCACCAGGGTGGGCTTGCTCCCCAGGACAGGCAGGCCAGAGGGACAGCCATGTCCCCAGGGCCCACTCCTTTCTGACCCCCACAAAGGTACGTCCGGTCCTGAGCCCCTGCAGAAGTGACCTTGGGAAACAGTCTGAGAAGAGGGGACTGAGGTCTGATGAGGGCATCCTGGGTTAGAGTGGCCCTCAGCCAGTGGCCAGCGTCACTGGTCATTGGCTCAGGGTGAAATTGGCCGAAGGACACACAGAGGGAAGAGGGCTGTGTGGAGGCGGCAGAGATAGGCTTGGTGCATCTACAGGCCAAGGATGGCCAGCGGCCACCAGGAACCAGGACATGCGTGGGACACCTGCTCCGTTATAGCCCTCGGGAGCCTGGCCCTGCCACCCGAGTCAGACCTGGTGGCCTCTGGAGCCATGAGCATGGGGCACTCTGTGACAGCAGCCTGTGGCAGCGGGATGGGCACCCGCAGGGTCTGCCGGCCAGAGGTGGGCCACCAGCCCAGGGCCCCAGGGTCACCTTCTGGGTCAAAGGGCTTGGGCAGAGTCTCCCGGAAGACTCAGAGCATGGCCATTGCCAGAGGTAAGGGAGTGGCCGGGCGGCTGCAAGACCACAGCCCGCTTCTCGCACCAAAGAAAGTGCGCGTCACCTGCTGCCACCAAGGGGCCCCGTGGCACCTCAGCACCCTGCGGTTCAGATATGGCCCAGACGGTGTCACTGGCTCAGGGGTCGCCCCCAGCCAGGAGGCCGGGAGGACTGACCACACCTGCCCGGAGAGTCAGGGCAGGCCCTGTCAGCAACATCGTTCCCATGACAGTGGCTCCTGCCCATATCCTCATCCCAGGGCACCCTCAGAGTGTGACCTGTCGGTCTTCTTTTCACAGTAAAGCCACCAATAAAACCGAGCTTCAGACAGGAGAGCCTGCTGCAGGGAGCTGGATGGTCAGGGACGTGGCTGACTACCTAAAGGATGCCAGTTCCCCGGGGAAGAAGCAGACGGGCTGAAAGGAGGCGTCAGTGTCCATTCTCCTCCCCTCCGTCTTCACAGTGTCCCTTCCTGCAAACGGCTCCTCCCACCTGGGTCCAATACACCTGGTTCTCTTCCCCGAGCAGGCTCCGACACCTGCGCTGGCCAGGGACCCCCCTGTGGGCCTACTGGGGCCATGGGGCGGACTGATTCCTGTCTTCTTAGTCTTCCCATCCACCCGTCCATCCATCCACCCACCTATCCACCCGTCCATCCACCCACCCATCCATCCATCCATCCATCCACCCACCCATCCATCCGTTCGTCATCCATCCATCCATCCATCCATCCATCCACCTATCCACCCACCTATCCACCTGTCCATCCATCCATCCATCCATCCATCCACCCACCTACCCACCCACCCATCCATCCATCCACCTACCCACCCACCCATCCATCCATCCACCCACCCATCCATCCACCTATCCACCCACCAATCCACTCGCCCATCCATCCATCCATCCACCTATCCACTCGTCCATCCATCCACCCACCCATCCACCCACCCACCCATCCATCTGTCCATCCACCCGTCCATCCATCCACCCACCCATCTGTCCATTCATCCATTCACCCTGTTAATCTGTCCATTCCATCTGTCCATTCATCTACTCACCCATCTATCCACCCATCCTTCCCTTTATCTGTCTTCCCATCTGTGTTCATTTGTCCACTCATGGGCCATCTGTTTTGGTTTAGATGTGAGGTGACCCCCCAAGGCTCGTTGTGAGACAGGGCAAGAATGTTCAGAGGTGACATGACCGGGGGTGGGAGCCTCAACCTAATCCGTGGGTGTCCCTCTGGTACGGCTACCTGGGCAGTACCTGTGGGCAGGCAGGGTGTGGCTGGAGGAAGGGGTCACTGCAGGTGCCTGTGGAACTCATGTTCTGTCCCTGGTGAGCGCAGCTCTCCCTGCTTCCTGGTGCCACGTCCTGAGCTGCTCCCCCCACCCCCACCACGATGTCCTGCCTCACCCAGGCCACGGCAGTGGAGCCGTCCACCACGGACAGAGCCTCCGACACCGTGAGCCCGGATCAACGTTTCCTCCTCTGTGCTGTCCTGGTCAGGCCTCTTGGTCACAGGGAGGCAGAGCTCACTGGCACCTCTGACCTCCCACCCCAGCCCTGACTCCCCGTTCCCTTAGCCTCTCCTGTCATGCCTGGCCTGGCCATCGCAGGCCACAAACGGATGGATGAAGGGACCCAGGGGTCCCGAGTGTGACAGTCAGGCCACCAGCTGAGAGATCTTCAAGGGTGGGGAGGGCGCCAGCCCCGCGGCTTTCCCCCTAGTCTGACCCACAGGTCTCTCTCTATGGCAGGGACGGGGACAGCCAGCGCCTCGTCCTCTGGGGAACCCTCAGTGCACCCCTGAGGAGAGAGGGTTGGGAAAGAATGCCGTGTGCACAGGAGCACCCGGTGACACCAGGCCACCAGCAGCTGGAGGAACCCAAGGTGAAAGGACTGTCGCCTCCGAGTCGGAGAGGGGGTCGAAGCTCACCTGTCACCTCCAGGGTGTGTCAGTGCTTGGCTACCTCGGGGGAGCTGTGCACCCCAGAGAGCTCAAGGCCAGATCCCAAGCGCCACCTGCAATCTCCCCGAGGATGGTAAGACAGGGCGTGGACGTGGGGAGATGGGCATCGGCCCCAGGGTCCTCCCGGCTCCTCAGCCAGCCTGGCGCCCGCAGCTCTGCAGGCAGGTCGCAGCAGTGGGGGAGGACAGGGACGCTCACTCCGTCTGGGATTCCAGCGCCTGTCTGTGGGTGCTGTGCCCCTTGCCTGGCTGGCTGGACATCAGTGATCCAAACACAGCTGGCAGACACCCCGGGCCCAGCTCTTCGTCCTGGGCACGCAGTGCTCAGCCCCAGGTGCCCTGCACCAGCACCCCCCAGGGGTGGGGGCTGCTGATACTTTTAAAAGAGAACAGTCACCACACAAAATGACCCGCGGGGGGGTTGATTTCAGCCTCGGCTCAACCTGGAGGTCTCCCACCCCCTGGAGCTCAGCTCCAGCCGCCCGGCCTCCTGGCCATTGTCCTGCACTGAGACGCACTCCAGTCCTGTCCCAACCCACTGTGGAGTTTAGTCAAGTGTCCCTGCCCTGGCCGCCTGCCAAAACTGTGGCACCTGACCCAGTTTCTGTAACAGAGATGCAAGTCACTCCATCTGACCCCTCGTAGAAGGCCAGTTCCTGAGGGCAGGGACCTTGAATGCCTGTGCACTGCCATGTCCCCGAGCCTTGCAGGGCTCACTGAGGTGCTCAGTAGGTAACTGGTGGGACACAGGACCAGCCCCAGGTCTCTGGTTTGGGAGTCATCAGGAAGGTGCCCATCTGTGCTCCCAGCATGAGCAGGAAAACGTAGTCTACAAGGGAAGGAGCCCCCTTATCCCCAGCCTGGTCCCTAATGCCATCTATGTCCTGGGGACAATCTGGAAGCTCTGGATCAGCAGGGGACTGTCCAGAGGGCAAGTCCAGCTTATCAAAACAAAGTAAGGGCAGGGCAAGGTAGACATGCCTATAATCCCAGGGGCTCAGGAGGCTGAGGCAGGAGGATCGTAAGTTCAAAGCCAGCCTCAGCAACTTATCCAGGCCCTAAGCAACTCAGTAAGACCCTGTCTCTAAATAAAATATATAAAGGTCAGGGGTGTGGCTCGGTGGTCAGGTGCCCCTGGGTCAGTCCCTGGTACCTTAAAACAAACAAATGAACAGAGTGGGGAAACTGATGAAGTGAAGCTCGGTCAACTTTAACAGGCGCGTCCAGCACCATGAAGCAGTAGACCAGCTGCTGAGGACTTTAGTGGCCAGGGCTGGAGGTCAGGACAGCAGCTTCCCTGGCCAGGGTGTGGGCCACCAACTTGGATCAGGCAGGCAGTGCCCACCAGTAACCGATATCAGCCCTGTGTGGAGTGACACAGGGCCGAGGAGATGCAGAGGAACCTGGCTGGCTCACCACCTCCTCCCTGGGCACCTGGGACAGTCGACTGGGACACAGGGCGGTCTAGGTGCCTTCCTCCTCAAGGGGAACCCAGCAGCAGATAGTCTGCCCACATCTGCACCTGGGAGGGTCTGGGAGCCACCAGCGAGCGAGGTGCTACTGAGCACCCGATCGGCAACTCCAGTGACCAAGAGGTGGGGGCCCCGTGGTTGGGCACAGGGTGGTGGGTGGGGCCACATCTGCCGGGGAGCCCCGAGGCTGAGGGGGTTGCCCATGGCAACCACTTCCTCTCTTTTTATTAAATGCAACTTCTCAAACCTGTAGGCACATTTGTCTTTCTATTGAGAAATTTTAAGAGGTAATTAATTAGCTACACCGTGAAAAGGCAGGGGGACCTCGGCTCAGGGGTGGACCCTGGAGTCAGGCTCCCGGGTGGCTCCAGCCCAGCACATCCTTCTTTGAAGTTCTGCAAGTTTCTCACTTTCTCTGTGCCTCAGGGTCCCCTCTGGAAAAACTAGAACAAAAGGAGTAAGTCCACTCCCAGGAATGCTGAGAAGGTTCCAGAGATGATGCAGATCCAGGGTTGGGGACAGCACCTGGCCTGGAGCAAGGGCTGCCCAATTGCTAGGGTTCATTACTGGTACAGAAGGGGCCCCAGGCTTTAATTTGCAGCCAAAAGACCAGGGCAGCGCTGCTCTACACCTGGCATCTGGTTTAGCAAGAAAAGGAAAAAATAGAATCCAACAGAACGGCCAGGCAAGCAAGCCCGGCCATTCTTGTGGTCGCCGCGGGCTGGGCCTGGAAGGCAGAGGGAGCAGGAAGGCCCTGGGGAGAGGGTGCCTGGGTCACACCAGGCATCAAGGAGAAGGCCCACCTCTGTCCCCTCCCCATGGAAGACACCACAGGGACTTATCCCCACACGTGCAGCCCAAGTCCCCGCTGAGTGACATGCCAAGGCTGAAGCGGGACTGTGGAACAGTGGACAGCAAGACCAAGCTCCCTGCAAAGAGCCTCATCCCTTCATCAATTCCTGGAGATCCCCAGTGCCCCTTCTACCCCAGCCCCCCAAAGACAGAACAAAGTTCAAGTTCACTGCACGACTCTGGTTCCCAAATGGTGCCGCACATTGAAATCACCGGAGGGATTTTTAAAATCCCACTGTGGGAGCTGTGCCCTACATCAGTGCAACCAGGATGCCTGGGAGTGGGCCGGGGGCTGGGTCTACTTTAAAGACCCCCCTTGGGGGCCACTCAGTGAAAGAGCAAGAGAGGCCAGTGAAGTGCCTGCTGCCAGGGAGAGGCAGGGAGAGGCCTGGTGGGGTACCAGGTCAGCATCCCAGGCCAGCAGAGCTGAGCGGTGCTATTACCCACCCTGCCGAACAGAGGTTGGGGGTGACAGATGGCACCCCTGAGCTCTGGACTGGCAGCAACCTCCCCTCCCTTTGGCTGGCCATTTCCTCAAATTGTGCTGGTGCCTGCTCTGCCAGCACTGTCCCAGCAATCCAGTCTGGGTCCAGCCGCCAAGCTGGGTTCCTACCGGTGCAGCGGGAAGCTAAGCTGGGTCTGGCAGGAGCAGGACCTGGGCCTGCCGACCTGGGGCTCCAGCCTTCCCCCGGCGGCCCCAGCTCCACGTCAACACCTCAGCCTCCCGGGAAGGAGGGTTTCTGTCTGGGTTTGGTTAGAAAAAAAGGTTCGCGCTGGCACTGCCCGGTCCACAGGCAGCCCAGGCAGGGGCAGAGACGTCCTGCCTCCTGGGCGTCCCGCTGAGCGCATCCCAGGCAGCCAACTTCGGGACCCTTTCCCCTGACGTTGGAAGGAGGCCCGCGAGGGAGCAGGTCTGGGGTCAGGCTGGATCACCCCACCCGGGCCCCTGTCCCCACCTGCGGCGCTGGGCAGCGGCCGGGCACCGCGCTCGGGAGGGAGGAAGCCGGTCCCGCCCCCTGGCCCACCCGGCGCGAGGGCGCGTCCTTACCGCTCCGGCCTCGCTGGCTCCGGGGGGCTCGGAGGAGGCGCCCCCCGCGCGGGCGTCGAGGATGCCGGGCGCCAGCGCGTAGAAAGGCGGGCTGGGGCTGGGGCTGGGGGGCAGCCCGGAGTCGGGGCTGTCCAGCAGGCCCTCGCGGCTCTGCTCCCTCGGGCTGCCCTCCATGCCCCGCAGATGCAGGTGGCCCACCATGTCCGGGGCGCGGGGCGCGGGCCGCGGCTCCTCGGGCTCCTCCAGCGCGCCCGGCTCAGGCCTGGCGCCCCGCGGCCCGCGCTGCCGCGCCCCGGCCTCGCCTGGCCGCGCTCCCGCCGGCCCTGCCCCTCCGCCCGCCGCCCGCACCGG